CCCCTCAATACCCTAGCGGCAAAGCCCTCCTCCCCCTCCCCCTCCTCATGCCCATAAAAATCAATACACCGACTCAAAATCGTCGGCAAAACATGCACAAAACTCGTATCCATATCCAAATCCATCCCATCCGTCCTCCTCCTCGGCTCCCTCATCTTCTGCTCATACCACGCCTTACTCTTGCGAAAGAAAGCAAGCATACGGTCCACCAACCCGCTTCCGGACACTGCGCTGTACTTCGCGATGAGAGCATCGAGGTACGGGATGTATTTCGAGTCTGAGTTTGAGTTTGAGTTTGGGTCGGGGGAGCAGCGAGAAGTAGCATGGGAGCCGAGGATGAGGAGGGCGTAGATTAGATGTAGGTGGGTGACTATTGTGGCTTGGAGGAGCGAGGATATGGGGAGGGAGAGGTAGTAGGATAGTAGGTCGTGGGTTGCTGCTTGAGAGGATGCGAGGATGGAGGTGCGGAGGTTGGAGGCGGTAGAGGGTTTCAAGTGCCTGTCGAGGAGGAAGGTTAACATATGATACTGTGCTGCTATGCTATGCTATGCTATGCTCTGCTGCATAAAAAGATCCTGTAGCGGAATAACTCACAAGCCGATTTCATTGACGGAGATGCGCAGGTTGAGAAATGAGTTTGTGATGCTGGCTGGGATTGGCGTTAGATATATATAATACGCCACATCTGATTTCGGGGTTTGTGGATTTTTGTACTGTACTGTGCGGTGCTTACCATTATCCCATATCTCAGCTGGAAAGTCTGTCTCCATTTGCTTCAGTTGGTCATTGAACGCTTGAGACAAACTCTCAATCTTTCCCGGATCGGGATGTGGCGCAGACAAGATATTGTCGTAGTCAAATGCAAGATTCACCCCATCCCCAAACTGTTGTAGACGGATGAAATACTGTAGCAGATAATCTGTTTCCGCGTCGGCGGTTTGGGCCAGTGCGTGGCAGCTCTCTTCTATGTGTTCGCTGTATTGTAGATGTCCCGGTTTTCTCGAACCCTGGCGAAGACTGGAAGAGCTTCAATTAGCAGAGTGGTGATGGGAACGGCGTATGGTGTGTATGGCTTACGCTGAGGAAAGGTAATAGCATCCGAGGAACGTCCGCCTGGATTCGATTTCAGCTGGGGAGATCCGTGTTTGGAACGCCATGGGCGGGTTGGGTAAGATTGCCACATCTGCCACAGCGGGCTTGGGGGGTGCTTTGTTTAGTCCCAGATCGATGGCCATGGAGATTGCCATCTGGGTGAGTTGATAAACAGGTTCCCTCTCAGCTTGGAAGTATAAATGATACCTAAGATAACAATACTCAGTAATCAGCAAGCAGTTCGAGAAATGGCATATTACCACGCCAGATACACAAGCAGTCCCTGTAAAATATCCAAGCTCTTCTCCATGTTTACCACAACCCTTCTGCTCAACGACTTCCTCACTTCAAGCTCGAGCTGTTCTTGAAGCTTCGGTTTGGCCTGCGTAGCAAAAGCCAATATGGCGAGTAAGAGGAACGGCCTCTCGCGTCGGATTGCGCTCAACGGTGTCCCTGGCCGAAGAACCACAAAGGGAAATCTATGCGCTTGGGCACGGAAGAATCCGAGGCAGTTTTCAGCTTCTTCAAACGTGACGAGGTCCTTGGTGATGACATCTTGAACAGCGTCTAGTTCTAGATTGGGCAGTGGAAATATCCCGGGATTTGAGAAGGCAGCGCCTGGATGCGGAGACGAGTTTGAGGTGGTGAATAAGCTGGAATGGCTCCATATATTGCTTGGTGGTTGGGGCGTGGAAAGGAGGCCTGATAGCGATGGTGGGCTCTCTCCTTCTATGGGTATTCGGTTTGAAGCGAGAAGTGTAAAAATCCCATTTATTTTCTCTTCCATTTCCCCAACTCGTCTGTTGTATTTAGTTATTTAGTCAGCGGATTTGATAATTGGATGAGCAAGTTAGCCCACATTCTGGAGTTTTTGGCCCGTTTGGGTCGCGCTTTGATTTCCATGAAGACGCATTCTTTTCCTTCCTTCAAACACCTGCAGAAATCTATTAAATCGTCTCTCAAGAAACAAGTATTGACCTTCAGAATGCAATACCTCTCACACCGATGGTCCTCTCTGTCAAGATAACACCTCCCCTTGGAATTCCTACAAGGTTCGCATGAACGCCGTAGTTTACGTGGCTGTTTCTCCATGGTGATGTTACTCCCGCCTGCGCGAATTTGCTGAAACGGTCTATATCATAACGAAAGCTACACTGTCTACCGGTAGTGGAGGCTGGGACAATGAATCAATCCGACATGGCGTTCATGCCGTCGGAAAGGTTCAAAGGTATTGCTGATTACATTGTGGGTTGAGCTGGTAAGCATGAATTAACACCGCATTCTGGGGTAACTTAGACTCCGAAACTCCTATTTCTTACGCGAGAGCACGGACACGGACTGCACCTACCAGGGCCAGGCTAGGGTAGGGGTGGGGTGGGGACGACGACGACCCCTCTACAGGAACACCAAAAAGAAAGACGAGCGGGTCAAGTCATCATTCGGAAAACCGCTTTTCTCGTCCTCGTTTCCTCGTTCAACGCTTCCCAGAAGGGGAGCAGAAAACGGCTGCCCTCCATCTCCTTGTGACTTAGGATGGCAGTCATCTATTTATTCGTCTTCCCTCCAAACCTCCTATACTCAACTATCACTTTCCTTCGCTCTACCCGGCTCGTACGCCGATCATGTCTTCCACTTTACTACGTCCTTTAAATTCGGCCTCTCGACATTCCCTCTGACTACATCTTATCCGTCTCGTCTATCAAAGAATTCCTTAGCATATCCGATCCAGAATGACAGCTCGACAGGATGCTGATAACCTTGCATGGGACCGGAGCGATGAGGTCTGGGAGGAAGCGATGAAGCAAGTCCGATTATCGTCTACGTGTCGCAAAATTGAATCTTTTGCTGAGAGGATGTTCGACAGCCCTGCAACCTTGGTTACCCCATTAATTATAGGCGGTTTTAACGTGCTATATCCCATCCGAATCGAAGGCTCCTCCGCTAATGTTCTCATACGCCTGCCCTGCCCCAATCAGGCCGTGTTTCCTGAAGGGAAAACACTTGCGGAAGTCGCAACGGCAGCATACATCAGCCAACATACTCATATCCCGGTTCCAAAAGTCTTCTATAGTGGTATTGATTCCGATATCGGGCCGTTCATGATTATCCAAGACCTCGGAACCCGACGAGTCATGAGCCAGGCTCTGGAGACTCCCCGCGAGGATCCTAACGAGACTCCCGTGTTACGACCTGATATTTCTGAAAGCGAGCTTGAGAGCCTGTATGTTAAAATGGCACAGTGTATGCTGCAGCTTGCACAACCTGCTTTCCCACGCATCGGAGCTCTCATCGAGTCAAGACCCGGATCCTACCATGTAATGGGACGACCTATCACTCTGAATATGAATAATATGGTTCAGCAATCCAATATCCCTAAATCAATCTTTCCATTAGAAGGCACCACTTATCAGACCGCTGATGAGTGGTACGCGGTGTTAGCCGAAATGCAAATAGCAACACTCCTCTTTCAACATAACGACATGGTCTCATCAGAGGATGACTGCAGGACTAAATATGTCGCTCGCCAACTATTTCGCAAATTGGCTAAACAAGGCCGACTATCAAAGTTTGGGTTTACTGAAGATAAATGGTCTGCCTGCTCCAAGGGCGCTCGTGCAACATTGGCGGCGCCGGAAGGCTCAGGCTCTTTCCGCCTCTGGTCTGATGATTTTAGGCCGGCCAACGTTATTGTTGATGAGAATAACCAGGTTCTTGGTGCTATTGACTGGGAATACGCCTACGTTGGGCCAACGCAGTTCATCTTAGACCCTCCATGGTGGCTACTACTTGACGTGCCTGAGATGTGGGATAATGGTATCGAGAATTGGACAAGCCTCTACGAAAGACGGCTAAAGACCTGGCTTTCGGCGATGGAAGAAGTAGAAAAAGATGCGAGTCCTGGTCTTTTGCTGCTCTCGGCGTACATGCGAGAGAGCTGGGAGACAGGCCGCTTCTGGCTTAACTATGCCGCTAGAAAGAGCTGGGCATTTGATACCATCTACTGGAAGTACCTAGACGAAAGATTCTTTGGTGAGCGGCAAGAAAATGTTCCCACGGAAGAACTATGGAAGGCGAGGGTGGATCTTTTGAGTGAAGAGGAACGAGCAGCGATGGAGTCGCTGGTACAAATAAAGATGGAAGAATCGAAGAAACGGGTTTTGGTTGAGTGGGACGATGCGGAGGCAAGGCAGCGCCTGTCTTCCTTGCTATTCAACTAATCAGCTCTTGCCATATATAATAGCAAAGTTGAAAACATTGCAACCCTCTTTCTCGTACCTCGTATCTACTATAGGGATTTTAGAGCATCAACTTCTTGATGTTTCTCGGAATATTGGTCATACAGCTCACGGCGGGCTCTGGTCATAGTGGCAGGTGGAATTGTGCTGGGGAGCAATCACAGGCGGTGATTAGCACAGGAGAAAGGCTACAATGAAGCAAGCAGTCTCTGCCACAATTCGCCTTGAATTTGATCTCGTCCATCATTCTGCGCGTGAAAGGGTAAATGGTTTGGCGATAGTTCTGGTGCAAAACAAAGAGAGGTTGGAAGTTCGCGTGCAAAATGGCTGGACGTACCACGGTCGGCCATGTAGTAGGTTACTGTCGTCACGCGGATATCGAAAAATCGCATAAAAGCATATATTTAAATTATCGTTTCTAGTATAGCGCACAGCCAAATAATTCATTCAGGTACAACTAAAAGCGCCAGACAACAATCTAGTATCGTATAGTAGTAGTATCACGTTACGGCCAAAAGCAATGCTATATACTCTCTATATTTATTATATAAATCGCGATTTGTGTGGATCGTGGAAGATGCAATTATATACTATAAAGGAAGCAAGAAATAGTGAGAAGCCTCTTCATATAACCTCTATTTGATTATATACCCTGTACCCTGCTTACTTATTTCCACGATAACCTCTTATTAGACCTCGCTAGCGCTAATATTGCTAGTCGGAGAGGTATATTTGCTCGATGAGGCTATCCCTAGGTTGCTCTAATAAATAGGTTAGTAGAGTTTTCACTTGGGAAATGAGGGCTTACTATAGCATAGTATAGCTGTATTGCCTGAAGGGATTCCTAGTATTCCTTATCCTTTAATCACCTCTTTTTCTGACTAAATTTGCTATGTTACATTGTGGGTCGCGACGCGGGGTGTGAACTTCGGCCGAAACTTGCGCTTTCCATTCCTCTCTAGGAAGTCCCGTCTCTCAATCCCCATACGACATATAAACACAACTTTGCTTTTCCCCAACCACAACTCCAACTTCACATCCCAGATCATTTCTACTGAAGCGTTGCATTTATCGAATCGATTCACTACGTATGGCAGTGCATGCTAGGCATCGCATCTTCAGAGTAACGGAGCTAAATGTTTGTAGATATACGCTCGCTTTGTAGTCACGTTTGTGATATCCTCCAATCTCGAACTTACGATCTGCTGAGAGTGGTTGAACCATTTCAGTCTGCTTACAGTATGACCTCTATGAAATCGCACTCAGCCGTGGGGGATCTGAGTTCAGGCTCGTCAAATCTCGGGACTTTAAGAGGGCAGCAAGGTGTCAACGCAACCTTGTATTATTGCAGCCAGAACCTACGCAGTGTCCAATGGAGTACAGCCCCGTGGCTAGGTCATGCCGCACAACTGAATATCATTTTCAGCTTTTCAATGGTTAATTATTTGATTTTTCAGCCGCAGAACAGCAGAGCCTCGTCGTTGCGTAACAACACTTCAAGATACTCTCAAACTTCCGATTCTTTTGACATTTCAAGCGGCAATGTCTTTGAATCAAGCTCCAAATAGCTTTCTTGGAAGACCTCCTACCACCCCGCCGCTGCCTCTGTTACATCCAAGACGCCCGCAGCGGCCCCCACCGGCCATACCTCTTCGGCAATTTCGATCAAACCCAACTCACTTTCCAGGCACAGCATCTCAAGCTCCATGGTCCGAAGACTCGGAATCCGGACATTCAAGATCTCCAACTTTAGAGATCGGTGAAGTAAGAGAGCGGCCCCTTTTTCCCTGGGGAAATTGGCTATGGCAGAGCGATACTGCAAAGGATTAATTTGAACTTTACCTTGAGCAATTTCAAGCCCTCGATTCTCGGATCAGCGATCTACTACATGACTACAGTCGATTTAAGAATAAACTTTCTCCGGAGTTATTCGAAGTTTTCTCGCGGCTTGTTGAACTCAATTTCTTTAAACCTTTTCCGAATCAACCTCACATCCAGCACTCGTCTGGCCAGGGACAAAATCCATTGCAAACAAACAGTTGGAGCCGTCTCAGGTCAGATTTGAAAGTCGGAGGAGGTGGTGTACTAACAGTATGGTACGGACTTCGTCTGGTTGACGACAGGGCCCTCTCCTCATTGGCTAACGTTTCTTCTAAGCATGATCTCATTCACCGTGAACGACAAGATTAGGGGACTTTTTTCATTCAAAGACAAGGTTTTTGTCACAGATGCGCGTCTACGGCGGAAGTACAAAGCTCTGAGCTTATCGGTCCTGCTCACTATAGCAGAAGAATGGTCTCTACCCAAGGATGTTCTGGAAGCATGTTTTAGTGCTTCGAGGTTTCAAAGACGAATGTTCACTCCCTTCACAACTTTCAAAACAAAACACAAAGGTGTGTTACAGCCTGTGGCCTGCATGTTTATTTGCTCTGACATTTGCTAGGGCAATCTACGGAATTTACACTCAATGAACCGGACTGGATCTCCATGGAATTCTGTTGGCATTCCAAAGTTCCAGAATATGAAAGGTCCTTTTGGGACTTTTTGATATATATTTGGAGGCCACAAGTTGATCGTCCAGAAAGAGAACGAGTGAAGTTGTTCCTAAACGCTTCGAATTGTGGTTGGCAATTACTGATGATCTGGCGGCCGACCGAGAGAACTTCAACAGGAACGCTTGACAGGTACACACAGCAACGGATGAAGCAACTGCGAGAGCAGTTCGATTCTCCTCACAGTAGCGAGGTAGAGATTATTTCGTCTTTGTTTTGCCTTTACGCCCTTGTTATCAATGATACAGAGACATTCCTTGACTCTTTAGTAGAAGAAATTGCACATTTAGTAAGCAGCAGATGCCTTTCTTCATACTTAACCCTACTGATTAATAAAGACTCTAGAGGGGCGCAGGAAGCCAACTGCCAGCAAAATTAACTTTCTTCTACATCTAGATGACCACCGACAAGAATCTTGCATAGGCCTGCGAGATGCCTCGATCGTACTCGAAGAGATATCTACTTGGGTGAATGCCAATCCTAATAGGCTTAACGCAGAATACGGGCTATATAAAAAGCTCCAGCAGTGGTGTAAGCAAATTAGACGAGATCTCAAACGCCTTCAAGCTGCTCTACTGGAGATCAAAGAACCGTTGGCCAATGTACAAGCTATGGTAGCCAATAAGAAACCCCTTTGAACATCAGAACCACACAGGACTAATGTCTCGGCTAGACCAAGGATCAGATAGATCTTCAACAGATCACCCTCACGGCAATTCTTACCTTCCTCGCTGCGATTTATCTGCCCTTCTCACTTATAGCGGTAAGCAATCCTTCATCCTTGGACATCTCGGAGGCATGTCAGCTATATTAGAAGGGCTAAATGACTAGAGTTACGAACAACTTGATATGTGTACAAGATTCACACTGACAATTGATCTAGGGTATGTTTGGTATGAATGTCAAGGGCCCCCTCTTCCCTAGTACATCGAAGCCTTTGAACGGCTCGGCCTCGTTATCCCAGACTTCGATAGCCAAACTTGCGCTGCGTATGTCAGGACAACTCTTTGCAGCTCACATTGCTCACCGAGCGGCGGTCGACACAACTGGAGCAGCTACAACCTCTTCTACCTCTTCAGCAACTGCAGCCACCAGCGGCTCTAATTTCTCGCAGGAACAGACAGATGCAATTGTATCTGCTATTGAGGAGGCATCATCCTCTCCCTCGCCACATTTATGGAGCTTCGTCCAGTTTTTATACATCTCCGTTGCGCTCTCAGCTGCAACAATCATTCTACCAATCATTGCCGGTTCCACTTTCCGAGTTACTCTTCGTTCTTTCTACCGATACAAAGTATATTGGCGGCTAGCGGTGTTTGTTTTCGCCCTCTCGTCCACCATTGTTCTCGATGTCTACATTCCACCACTTCCGTTCGAGGTTGTGTTCGCAACACCTCAGGTTGCATTCTGTCTTTACAAGGTAGCACAAGCAAAATTCCGTGGACGCCAGAAGAAGAGATGGACTGGATATGCCACCCTCCTTAGTGTTTGCATAGTCAGCGACGAAAAGACTTCGGGGTCTTCCGGCACCAAAAAGCTCGTTTACCATGGTCAGAATGTGGGGCTCGTAGCTTTCCTCCCTCCTCTGTATCTCTTCGTAATCTGGATGCAGACGGACCCCCCAATGCTTAGCAATTCACGCCTCCTTTCTTGGAAGGCACGGCTAGAGTTTATGAAGCTGAGCCCGCGATGGAAAGCGCGACTGCAGAGGTGTCGATGTGTCCGAATATGTACAGTCTGCGCCATCACTGGTCTCAATGCTATGCTTAGCTGCCTCTTACCTAGAGGTATATATCTCGTCGCTACAAGTATTCCTTTCGGTACGAATATCGGGTCTTCTATTTGCCCCCACCGTTGTCAAACTCGTTTGCGTACTCTTACTCATTGACTCCCGGCATTACCCCACGCAGCTTGATCTACTCTTTTCGTTTGAGCTACAACCTTAATTAGGAATCCACTAACTTATCGACCAACACAGGACTATTTGCTTTGGACGAAACCACCACTACACCCAGGGGAAAAGTGGATCGGAAAGATGAGTCTCATAGATTGGGGTGGGCCATGTTCTTGCCTATAGTCTTTGTCTCGCTAGTGCTTCAGATGTTTACCTTCGCATCTTTTATCGGCATCTCCGCTCTCCTCCCTTCGTTTTATCTTTGGATACTTTATTACAGGCTGGATCAGATTAAGGCCTGGTTTGCTTAACGACGAAGAGTTTTGAATGGGAATCAACCACCGACACATGACTAGAAAGGCTCAGTCACATATTCTCCACACAAAGCCAAAGTCGTCCGAAGTACAATACTGTAATTCGGACTGCTTTGGCTTGAGGTATACAAATTCAGCCTAATATACGTCTTATGTTGCGAGCCAGATTTGCGGTTTATACCTTAGAAATCTCTTTCTTGCAAATGTATAAAAATATAGTTAATGTATCGTTGTTCTATAGCTATTCATCCTCCGACCCTGCGGTAGTTCTCGTTATAAAGAGGTTTCCTAGTTATGCTGGTAATTGTTTTGTTGACGCTATCAATTGCCGCTTCAGCGATTGCCCCCTGCTCAATGACGGGCATTTCTATATCTTCAAGTTTCGGAGCAATGCTATAACATCTGCTTCTATATTTATATAGAGGTTAAAGTACTTAGCAGGTTTAGATATCTGAACTATATATAAGTTATGCTTTCCTAATTTAGCTAGTATAAGTCGACTTACAGCAACCCAACTTTAGTTATCCCGCGCCTTTTCAAAATAGGTATCGCTCAGAATGACTACAATTCCAAATAGTCGAAACAATCATCACGTACGCCCCAGATTAACACACGGGATAAATCGCAAATCCATGTCAACGCGATTCTTAAAGGATTTGATGTCAAGCGAGGCATTTACGGAGCCAAAGACTAAGGTTTTCATCAACCTCTAAAGACCAGACGATAATATACGTCAATACGAATGCAGGATATGAATACTCCGCAAATGCTATTCCCCCTCGAGTCTAATGCTATGATCGATCTATGCTATCCGATTGAACGTTATTAATACTACAAATCTGCTCACAAAATATTACTTATGCTACACATGCTTTTATGTACTCTCCCCCGCCCCGCCATCCGCACTCCCTTGGTTCAGAAGTTATGTCCTTTAGGGACATATAACGCAACCTATTAATCTTTGAATCAGGGTCGGGGAGAGCACTTCATAACATAGATTCCAACAACATGGGTACCGTATTACCCACCAGGGCCTCACCACTCAAAAGGAATTATCCTTGGCCAAGCCCAACCCCTTCATGCTCTTGAACATTGACGGTGTATCAGGCGACACCAACTCCGCGGGAGGTTGCGGGGGCTGCTTGCTTTCGGCATGTAGCTCGAAGTGAGAGGTCTCAGGGATTGCTCGTGTTATGCCAGGTGTGGATGTCACAGATCCCATTCCCTTAGAAAGTGAGTCAAATTGAAGGGAAAGTGGAACCATCGTGCAGTATAACTTACAGATGAAGATGTAGGGAGCTTTTTAATATACCCCATTCCTTTTGCAAAATCCGCCCATGCCATTACAATCGCCTCTTCGTCCGGCAATGTCATGAAAGTCATTGCGAACGATTCGGATTTTGCTGTCAACTCTTTAGACGTAGCTAGCTTGTTGATATTCATGGGACTCGAATTCAGGCTCGAAATCTGGTACAGATCACCTTTATCATTGACTAACGCGAGCTCTGTGCCGGTCGGAGAAAAAGCAGCGCACTGAATTCGAGATCCGAGCCTGTTCTGCCGAACTGAGATTTCGCTTCTGATATCTGTCCTGTGTCCATCTTGGGGCTGAACAAGTATTGGAACTCCAGATTGAGTCCACGTCGTGATGCATATCACGTCTTCGTCGTCGCCCGAGCCTGATCGAAATATAGCTGATGACACTCCGCCATCTTCCGACTCATGCAATGGCACTTGGTACCGACAAGAGGAGACCTCGTCGAAACTCGAAAATGGAAATTTCCATGAATATACTTGGATTATCCCGGTTTTATGACTCCTCGTAGTGCCGAGGAGATGCAGTCCATCGTTTGAGAATGAGAGAGTATCGACTGGTGGACAATCCTTACATTCTGGGTGATAGCGGCTATGAAGACGGTCTTCCCTGGGCGGTTCACTATTCGTAGTGGAATAGAGACGGACCAGGGAGTTATCAAATCCAATCACAACATAATTTTCTTTAGGACAGATTGCTATACTCCTACACCAGGGAGAGGAGGCCATGCGATAATCAATCGCCGGGGTCGATGGTTGAACCAGATTCACAATTCGAAGCTAGAAGGATGGACTTTAGCAGAGCTTGACAAGCTCGATGGCATGGCGCACTTACGGTGAGTTTCTGGTCGCGTGTGCCAATCACATATGCAAGATGAACTTTCGTAACAGCTACCAAGACGCATGCGCTCTCAGTCGAAATCGCTCTTCCAATTGTTGGAGGGGAAGGTCCAACGTCAAATATGTAAATCGAGAAAGGATTCCAAAAGAGTGCGTAAGTCGAATTCTGAGAAAGATAGACACTTATGCTTTTTGCCCCTTTGCCCTTGGCATTCTTTTTCGGGACCCCGGCTAATGGCTTCAACGAAATTTCATCAAGCCTTTGCGAATCTAAGTTTGATGATGATAGCGAGCTTGTATCTGCTGAAGTACCTACAGATTCTTTTCTTGAACCAAATGGAGATCTCCATTTGGATTTCCCTTTCTCGGGCGGAGCTATCATTGGAATTGTTCGACTTCTGACTATCGGAACGGGGTCAAATGACAATACCGGGGCCGGTTGTTCGAACCGACTTTGACTTGGACCAGGACTACCGACTAAATCCGGAGAGAACGGTGTCTCAGACTGAATTATCGTCTCCTTGATGTTGAACGAGTCCACAGAATTCATCTGTGGCGCGGGCGCGTCTGGCATATGGCGGAACCCGGGTGATAATGGCGATACAAGGCTCTGTGAGATAGAATGAGACCTGTCCGGTGATTCACGATGAGACGAAAATTCCGTTTGGCCACTTGAAAGTACATTGCTGGAGCTGAAATGAGATACGCCTGCCTCGACTTTTGGAGGTGCAAGTTGGAAGTAGTGTGTTGATAAGTGTCTTTCCACGTTGATTGTATCTGCAGTCGCTTCGAATGGTTTTAAAAGCCCCCATATATGTCTGAACTGCTCACTAGAATCGTCGAGAAGCGCGATATTTCTAGTAACTTCTGACATTGCATGCATCACCTCTCTATCACTCACCCGATGTACTATTTGCCGTTCGCTAAGCCTGGAACAGAAAGCGTCTATTGCATCCATTTCACTTTCGTCGATTTGGGATTCGGAAGCTCGTCGTTGTAGACTCGGCGTACTGGGTAAGATTATTCGAAAGGTCTCGCTGAATTCAGCAACCAAGTCAATCTTCAATAGATATGCTGGCAGCTGTATATTATCCAGTGTGTGCAGAATAGCATTTCGAGCCCTAGATGATGACGCTTGAAGGTGCATACCACGATTTTCCCTGTTTACGACATATTGAACGGATGCTCCCACTACAAAATGAGAAACATCTCTTAGAGCCAGAAATTGGGATAGCCAGCCGCTAGAGAAGCCATCTGGTGGTGCAAGTGCAGATATTCGTGCGGACGAGAAACATTCCGCAAGAGGGTACTATAATTTATCATTAGCTCCAGGAGACTTTGAGTTCTGGTGTTTCATTATACATACTAGTTCGGATGCCAAGTTTGGAATCTCATACTTCAGCCCGGAAGGAAGACCCAGAGATTCAGGATCTTTGCGCAAGGCGTCGGTGATATCCTTGGCAATTTGTAAGAGAAATGAGTTGTTTCCTGGATAGCTACTGAACACTCGCTCCAAAGATGTGTGTATTCTCGCAAAACGATCTCGGCGGTCCTTGGCTCGCTGGTTTGCCGGAGTCTTGGGATGTAGCGTGAGAACTCGAAGTGCAGAGAGGAGGAATTCAGCGAGATATTTGTCCCTCAGCAGCTGTGCCTCCCAGAGGCTTTCTCGCCCTTCTATAACTATCTGCAGTACATACTCTATCGAACGCAAGGTCACCTCCCAGCTGCACAAGATGCAAAAGTCAGCAATTATCTCCCTTGGAAGATCTCAAGAGCTGCAGCACAGACCGAGAATAAGATGCTTAGGATATTTGAAGCAAATGTCCTACCGCCCGACACCGGACAGAGGGAAAACTTCAACAGTGTTCCATTTGCGGAGAACTGACCTGACAATAAACCCTAGGTACCATCCGACCTGCAAGTTTTCTGAAGGTAAAGAGAGCCTTTGAATATAGAAGATGGAATTCAGCTGGGCGAGTAAGGTCACAAGCAACTGCTGGTACGTCTCCTTGTCACCTTCAGAGTAGATCTTCTCCAGCGAGAAGACCCCAAGAAGTTCGAGTATGATGCTATCGACGTCACTTCTGAGTGCTAAAAGTCTCCATGTGCTCACGAGCCGCATGAACATCGATGAGGAGACGGGAGCCGACGCCATTTGGACAGGGCCGTGCCGCCACCACACGTGGCCGGCTCCTTGGTGATGGCGCCAGTCGTAGGTAGAGCTCCTGGGAGGATATCGCACGCCGATAATCTATCATCTACGCCGTCGCCGTTGACCTTTGTCGTTGATCCGCAAGTAGAGAGACAGTGAAAATACTACAATATCTCAGACGCTGGAAGAGGCTTTTCTCAACGGCATCTGCCATCGACTGCTGCCATGTGCGTCGGTCCATCCATCCTAGGCAGAAAAGATACCTCGAGGCCTGGATTCTGACCTAGCTGATGCAGGACAGGGCTTACAGGATGGTGTACGCCGAGCAGGCTGTGGTAATGCAGTGTTGCCGTGGTACACGGGGTGTGATAAGGTGCTCGAGCCAGTAGGAGGCGAGCAGCCGTTGGAAGATTGCAGTATTCCTTCTCCTCCGCTTTAAAGATTGTACATGTACATGTGTACATGTGCAATGCAAGTCCAATTGGAGTTGGCTCAGCTGAGACGGGGTTCAGATAGATTTTTCGAATCTCACTGGCTGGCTCATTTGCGAACTACCGCTTGCGTTACAGGGGCCCCATGAATCCATTCCATTTGACCCCAGCAGGGCTGACAGCGGTACACCCCAGATCCGGGACGATGCGCAAGTAATATTGGGCAGGGAAGCGGGGCGATCATCTATTCAAAGGTTTCGACATTATCGGTTTCTTCCTACGGAGGAGAGGTACAGTATCTGTAGGATGAGTGCTAATATTCATCGTAGATCAGAAGTCGGCAGTCTGACAGGAAGCGAGCTGATTTAATGCAACAACTCTTTGTTCAATGGAGGTTATTTGACCGCTTCTTTTCGATATGGATCATTCGGTGTGCATAGCATTGGTCGCTGTGTAACTTCAAGCAGGGTTCCGCACTCGATCTCCCCGGTCTTGAACCCCCCCCCCCCCCCCCACATAGCGATCAAAATTGGGGTGTGGTACCAGTGTGCTGTTTTCCCCTGATTTTATCCTAGCAACATAGGCCTTTCATGATATATTGCCCCGGTTTTCCTATCTTCCCCAGAGGCTTGGACGCAAGCAAATTGGGACAGCTTCACATTTTCTCTTCAAGACAGCCATGGATCACGAAAAATTACAAGCGGTATCTCCCCAGGTCTTCGAATACAATGGCACGTCAACTCAATCCACAGAGAGCCCAGAGCCGCTCACTCATCGGGCTCCCTCAATCGATGAGCCTGTATACATCGAGGATCGTCGCGAACGCCGAGGCGAAAGTGTGTGGTAAGTTCATCGCACTTGCACACTTGGACTTGCACTGACATTTTTCTAGGAGAGTGTTGAAGGAGAGACACATTAACATGATCGCATTTTCAGGGACAATAGGCAACGGACTGTTTCTTGGAAGTGGAAGAGCGCTTGCAAGCGCTGGTCCTGGTGGTGCTGTTCTCTCATACGTATTGGTCGGCACTATAATATCCTCCGTGATCTCATGCTTGGGAGAGATGACAGCTCTGATGCCCGTCAACGCGCCGGTTATGGAGTTTCCACGGCGATATCTAGATCGTGGAGTTGGTTTTGCAGTCGGATGGATATACTGGCAAGCTTATTTTTATACAATCGATTTTCCTCTGTTGGAGCTGAAGAGCAGGGAGCAGGATTCCACATGCTGGCTCTCAAGACAGCTCCCAGGATTCTTGGATCCCCTTAAGCACTTGGCTTTTGACTTTGCTAATTAGTTGGGACAGGTTTGCTTACGCTATCCTTGCTGCAGACGAAATCGTTGCTGTATCCAATGCCGTTGCCTTCAAATATGATGATGGAAGAACTTTCTTGGCTTGGAAAGTCGGGGACTCCGTGGACCCAGCTGTTTGTGAGTCGAATTCCCATACAAAAAATATTTGTTTTACTTTTGTGAGCTCTAGAGCTAGGGACTGCGTCAGGAGCTGAAGAAATATCTTTCATAGTATGAAAGGTCCTGACTCCCGAGACAGCTCCTAAGCTCTTTGACTAGCTAGAGCAATTCAAGCTTTTGTCATGCTAATAATTTGGGCAGGGGTTGCTTTATTTCTCGTCATAGTTGTAAGCATAAATATGCTGCCCGTCAAGGTAATGTCTACCTTTCAATTATATGTCGGGCAATTACTGATATTGAAATAAAGTACTTTGGGGAATTTGAGTACGTATTTGGAAGTTTTAAGCTGGGATTTATCACCATGCTCATATTACTGATGGTTGTTCTGGATACAATTACACGTAACTACACCTCTTTCAACTTAACGCAAACACTGACACTTTCTCATAGCCCGAGCAGATGCATACTATGATCGAGTCATTGGAACTAGCAGTAGGCTCCCCCTAAGTGATGATCTTTGTGGGGGCAAGTTGCTAATCAAATTCCCGCAGACTGGAATTCGCCATACTCATTCTTTAATCATGCGTACCGGGTCAAAGACGAAGACGGTAACTTGCAGCGAACCATCACTGGAGGCGTGGGTACTTTCCTCGGGGTCTGGACAACCTTCGTATCGACCATGTTCTCATATGTGGGGATGGATATTGTGGCAGCTACAGCCGCCGAGAGCAAGGCACTTTCAGATTCCGAGAGTATGAAGATGGCAGCGAGAAAGATCAACATACGAATCGTTACCCTCTACGCGCTGGCACTCCTTACAGCTTCTTTTGTAGTCCCGAGCAACCATCCATTCATCAACGGCGGGGGACAATCAGTTGGCTCTCATTCGATATTTGTCATTGCAGTTGTGGAAGCGGGCATTCCTATGGCCGCCCACTTCTTCAATGCCGTATTCGTATTTGCGTCTTTCACTTGCGCAATAAACTCTATGTATGTGGCTTCGAGAGTTCTGCATACTTTGGCGCTACGAGGCCAGACTGGCCCGGACTTTATAACAGAAAGGCTGAAGAGGTGTCGCTCCGGGGTGCCAGTCAGGGCTGTTCTTGTCACTGCTGCCATAATGATGATTGGGTTTATGGGCCGTACCGGAACACCAGGAGAGGTAAGCAAAACAGGAGAAACCGTTGGACCTAATTACTAGACCTTATACTGATATCCCAACAGCGCTTAGGAGAACTTGCGACTAATTGCACCGTATCTTGTCTGATCGTTTATGTTATTATCTGTGCAACATATCTTTGCTTCTTCAAAACGTACGTGTCGGCAATCCTGCCAACTCAAGCGATGTTATATGGGCCACAAGCATTGTCTAATTGAAAAAATGTATAGGCTGAAAGAAGCTAAACTTTACGGTAACGCGTCAGAGTCTCAAACCGCATGCTACGATCGAAGCCATCCCCGGTACCCTTACAAGTCTCATGGTCAATGGTTAAAGGCTAGTTATGGCTTGGTCGCTTCTATACTACTCGTGGTCTTGTATGCAAATTCCCTCAGCACTGTATTTGTTTGATTGCATGATGCTAACTCTGAGGACTTGCAGTAATGGCATCGGTGCCTTTCTCGAGCGACCATTCGACACGAGAAAATTCATTGCATCATATATTTCTGTAAATATCCTCCCAAACACAATTTCGTTGATAAAAACGAACGAACAAGACTAACATTTACACATAGGTTCCTGTTTTTCTATTGCTACTCCTAGGCTACAAAGTCCGCAAGCACGGATTTGCATTCTCGCAATGGGGACCAGAGCGGTCAAATGACTTGAGGAACACAGTCCAAGCAGCAAGCGAGATCCGAAAAGGGAGGCTGGAATTTCCAGATGAAGGTCTCACTAAGAAAAACGGTCGAATGTTTCTTGACTGGATCTGGGTATGGATGAAGTAGGCTGCGTCACGCGTTGTTTCCAAATTCTCTTTGCTTTGCTTTGCTTTGCTCTTCTCGCATGCACGTAATATACCTAAATATTGTTCAAGGTTCCCCACGCACGTTCAAGGTGCACCACTAGAGCGAGCTGCTTTCGAAATAGATCACGGGCCCGTGAAAGAAATAACATAATCCAAGCATGTACCAATAGAACATGCCCCCTTACCCTGTCCTGCCTGACCCCGCTCCAGTGGCCCCCAAATCCAAACACTTACGAAGATTACTTTATCTGCGCATGCATCAAGCATCGAAAGTGCCAGCCCATATATCAAAGCACAGACAACAACCCATCCTGCCCATCCTTAAGGATGCTACTCCATGTATAATATATTGAAAACAAAAACAAGGGGTAAAACAGGTAGGTAGGTGTGTTCATTGAAATAGAACAGGACACGCGATCGACATCGACATGCTGCCTCCCCAAGATCCTTTCATGTAGCCAAGACCAAGCTCCCGAAGCCTTGCATACATTGTACACGTACCAATAGCATGCATTTATTCCCATTCCCATTTGCGCTTGCAGAGTGCGCTGTGCGTGCTCGGTTTGGGGGCTAAAGCTTAAAGTCATGCACTCCTTTCGTTTGGGGAAGGTACTGTACCTCGGGGACCTCAGACTATTTTTATTGTGCCAGAAGCGGAAAGAGGGGAGCGGGCAGAAGCAGAAGCAGAAGCAGAAGCGTATTTGCTCGCATGCGATGTATTCTTAGTCTCGTGTATTTTGCTACCATTATCCCTTCGCTTTTCTTTATCCAACATTAGATTCTACGTAGAAAGTACTCCGTATCTACAACTAATCCAGAGCACCAAAGGCGTTGAAATACACAATACTTCAGATGAGACCTTTATGCGTCAACTTTTATGAAGTATTCCACTTCATGTAAGTCTTTTGAATCTTCTATAGAAAGAAAGAATTCTTCCACCTCGTTCATCCAAAGCACGTGACTCATCCCCTTGCATCACTTGCCAAAATCCAGACCCAATTGATCTCCCAGTGTCAAGATAAACGTTGGGAACTTTTGAAGTGGCGCACTATTTCTTGTTCTGATGGCCTGTATATTTTGAAAGTTTCACCAGTCTAACATTGCCCACGCCAACTTCCAAAATCGTTCCACCGACATTTCAATGCGGACCGTGAGCCAATTCAGTGACCACGGCAAAGCACATAATGACGAGCCGCCAGAGGGACAGGACGGTCATTGCAAAGAGTAAGTATGGAAGCGGGAGTTGAAGCTTTTCCTAAGGAAAGAATCAGGCTCTTGGCGCAACTGTTCTAGCCTTCTCAAAACGAGCAACTAATGCTTTGAAAACATCGTCGTGCTTCTCCGTCAAGTTATTGCCTTGAAGACATAAGCAAAAATCCATAAATGAGGATTGGAGATACTCACAAAAGTCCTGGTACGCAGGCTGCAGTTCATTGAACAAAGTGCGGAGTTTCCTATCATCTTTGCTAATTTCCTCTATACCCGGTTCAGACGCATATTCCATGGTCACAGGGGTGTCACTCTCGCGACAGAGTGTTCCATAAGCAATGGTCAGTCTCTTGTACATGAATATTGATTGTTCCAGACGACCACGGTGCACTACCAAGAATCAGTCCCTCTAGTCCATAATAAACTCAAATCTCAGTGACATACTAAGCTTTTGCCTTGGCAAAGAAATTCGGATTTCGTCACGAAACGCTCGGTCTCGATATAGTAGTAGCAATCTAAGAAGGCACATGCCAGCAACCATTCGAGCATGCCTGTGTGGCCCGATCATCTTGTTGACGCTATCAACTTCCGCGAACAGGGACTTCTCAGCTGGTTTGGCTCCCTCGGCAGCGATCAAGCGTATTTGATCATACACAGTCGGGGAAACAAAGTTTTGTGCCTCACTGTCCTTGGTAGGAGGGCGCGCTAGGAGTTTGTAACTTCCATCTCGAATATTCAGATATCCGTATGATACCAGGCCGTTGAGACCAACAACCCGAAGTGTTGAGTCTAAGAAACGGCGCTGGCCTTTGTTAGTATGGCCTAGGGAAAGGAATTTATTACTCACCAAGGGTGATTGAGTTCCTTGACAACAGTAATGTAAAAGGAAAGCATCTAAACGTCGAGTGACTTCTCCCGAATGTGATCCATTTGAAAGTGAGAGGATCTTTCGTCCGAACTTATCGACCCCATCCACACTTGGGAGTGAGCTGGGGACAGCGACATACCGTCGATCATACACTGAGTCACACGTGAGGTAAATCCCCTTGACCTTGCCAAGGCTCTTCCAAAGGTCCTGTGGAGACGTGCTGCAACCTCTGACTTCGAGAGGGAGCTCTGCAATACGACCATCGTTATCGGTAGAACATATCACTGAAATAAGGACTTGTGAAGTCTCCCCTATCATCGATCCGATGATGGGTTCGAGATCGCTACTACGAGCATTTAGGCTACCGTAAATGTCTAATGATGTCAGTAGAAGTAAGTCGGAGGTTAAACAGCATGAATCGTACCTTTGATGCCTACGAAAGTATCTTGCAATCTCGTCCGTAAGCAGATTTGCTTGGCCACGAGCGGATCTTTAGCAGTTCTGAGGCAATGTTTGCAAACCCCATTCGGAGAGCACTACCATCAATTAGCGTGAAAATGAATCGATGCAAGAGAAGAGCAGGCCTTACCGAAATTTTGCGTGAGCGGCATGATATACATGCATGGGTTTTGCGCACCGCATGGACTTTCTTACGGTCTTCTGCGCCGAATGTCTTTCTCTTTCGTTTCAGTGGGCGTGCGTCTATACTAGCATCGAAGTTGGAAAGAAGTTCATTGAATCTGGGCACCGCGAGATTCGAGCCGGAAGAGGCTTTAGGTGTGACGAGGGAGGCTCCTGAGAAACCTTGTGGAGCAGTTGACACCAACGACAAACAATTTTTGGCTCGGGACAAGCCAGATGCGGCATAACCACCCAAATGTGAGGTTTCTGGTGAGCTTGCAAAGGCACGGCAAGGAATCTGTTGCCTTTCTTCAAATTCCCCGAGGGACAGGTCGACAACGCCTTCATTGGAAACCCTTGGAAGCCTTTGCGTACGTGTTCTCAGAGCCTCAGGTACCTGCACGTCCAGAACCGCCGCATCCTGAGAGCAGAACATGGAGTCGCTTAGTGTTGTTTCATAAAGGTCACTTTCACCAGCTGGTATCATTAAGGGGCCGGAGTCGATCCCATTTAGATAACTCGGATGGGACTCAACACCTTGATCGTAGTAGAATCTTGGGGTGGTTACCTCACTGGCATTGTAATCAGTATTGCAGGCCAATGAGGGCCAAGACCTCTCAGGCAGGAGATTCTCGGGATTTTTTAATGGCCAGACAAAGGAGCTTTCCAGAAATGAATCGTGATCGACGGCGAAGCAGCAATCATTTGTTTCAGGGAGAGAGTAATGGGAATTGCTCGGGAATCCAAAATTGGCAGAAAATTCGTCCCACGAAATTGGAGCTTCATTTTGAAACGGCCAAAAGCATTCGGCATTACCAGCTAGCCCAGAACTGGTACATTGGTCTAAACTGAAAGAAGTCCTTGGAGAACTCAATGCAGCATTGAAATCTTGCGGCTGCGGAATAAGGCCACTCTCATTCGTTGGCGCTATTGTACCTCCACATCCCGGACTCTTAGCTTCTTGCTCCTCGAGACCAGTCAGAAAATATGAATAGTGTGGTTCAAAGGCCATCATCAGACGATGCCTCGTTGCACGGGAGGCTTAGATGACACCTCTGGCACTGAGGTTTTCTTGCTCGCAACCGACGTGGTGTCCAAGATCTTCTCCCTCAAAAAATACAGTGTGCGCGGCGAAATAAGAGAACAAACTGCGATGCTTCAAATCAGTAACGATTACAAGTTGTACACCCTACGAAAAACATGGTGGCATAGCCGTGGAGCTTATATCTGAATTGCCACCCTGCCGTATGTGACTGCATGGGTATCTCGGGGCGGACCCCACATATCAAAAGCAGACTTCGGTGAGGAGCGTCAGCCAATGGGCTATACGCCACTGAAGAGTGGCTGCAAAATCTGATTTCTTTCTGATCGTGAGTTCGTTCGGTCGGCGTTGGTAGTAAGTATGTTGGACCCCTTCATGAACTGAGCCGTTTGTTATGCAAATGCAAGTCACCGCACTAGCTAGTGTAGTGAGCCCATACACATAAGGGCTGGACAACTTCGATATCGAGCAATTGAAAGACAAGACAAGAGACTGAGGTTTGAATCAGAAGGCAACGTTCCTGCTTGCAGTTGAGATTGTATCTGACGAATATCTATTCACCACTTGATGAAGGGAATTTCTGAAATACTGGCAAGTATTATTGTCTACTAAAAAAAAGTATCTCCGTATTCTCTTCCGAGGAACCAAAGCTGACACGCAGTTCGAGGTCAACTACGAGAGAACAATCGAAGAATGAACGAAATGTGGGTGTTTATTCTATGCTTGGAATATAAGAAACGCGATCCACGGACACAGTATTGCACACAACGCTCTCTGGTGCAATCAATTGATGCAAAATGGTTTTCACGAAGCTCGCGAAGAGTTTCGGGTCGGTCTCGCGTCCAAGGGGGGTCTTGCCTAATAAGGCGTTGAACTATTTGCCTTTAAATCTCATTTGCCTTCTCGAGGGTTCTTGCTTATAATTTCTTGCGGAGTAACGCTTAGGTACCACCCACCTCTCATTCCTCCTAGGCGTAGGCCTAAGCTCTTTTAAACATCTGGCAAAATTGTTGCGGCGCGTTCTGATCCTCAAGCATGATCTTCTTCATCTGGTCCGCCTCCTCCATAAGCTCTTTACTGCGCTTCCACATCTTCTCCTCGAATCTTTTTACCGCTTCATCCAATCCACCTTCGGTTTCTAAAGATGAGGTGATCGCTTCGGAGAGCTCAAGGGCATCGAGCATAGCGCAATTTACCCCCTCTCCAGAAGGAGTCATGAGATGTGCTGCATCACCGATAAGTGTTATACCGGGCGTGTGTGTCCACGAATCTCCGATCGAGTGCATATACAGCGGGCGGGCTTCCATCTTATCCTCCACGGCATCACAACCCGCAGCAATCAACTCTTGCAGTTCATTGCCCCAACCCTGGAAGAAGTCCTCCCCGCCCAGCAGCTTTTTCTTCAGCTCGGCTGGCGGCAGACTATCGAGTCCGGAATCGCTGAAGTAAGAAGAAGATGGGATGCTCATCATTAGGTACAAGCGGGCGGAGCCCATAGCTCCCCGCTGGCTGACGAGAGCTTTGTGCTCGCTGAACGCGGAATAGGAACCATTTCCCACCAGAGAATTGAGAGAAGGGTAGTTGGTGCTGAGGTTTCGGATCGTGAACGTGAGGTATGACGCTCCACTGTAAAAGGGTTTTGATGCTCCAGGAATCGCATCCCGGGCTTTGGACCAAGCACCATCCGCACCTACTATCTCGTCGAATTCATCTTGTTCTTTGTTTCCAAAGGTGATTTTCCATTTCCTCTCAGAGCCAGGAGTGACGGATAGGACTTTCGTATTCCAGCAAACGAGGTCTGGGGGTAGAGATGAGAGCAGAAGATACGTGAGCGCGTTCCGTGAAATTTCAGGCCTATCTCCGGTTTGATCATTATCTTGATACCAAATCTTTCCCGACTTGTCTGCAACGATCGTTTGTTCGCTGCAGTCCGCAATCAGGGTTTTGAACTTGGAGGTGAGGCCGCATTTCTCAATTGCCAGCAAGCCAGACCCACGATGCAAGTCAAGACTGCCTGATGGTGTGTGCAGAGTGGAAGCAGAGGGTGCAGAGCGTAGATCGAAGATGGTGACAGGGAGAGAACTCGATGGGAGTGATTTGTAGAGAAGGTTAGCGAGGGTAAGACCTGCGGGGCCGGCGCCAATGATTGCTATTTTGGGAAGGACTTTAGATGTTGCCATTACGCTTGTAATCCCCATGTTATGTATGAATCGAAGATGAGCTCAATTTGAGTAGAATGCCAGGAGAGGACTGACTAGAGGTTGATAAGGTGTCAACTCACATGGAAGAACCGCTCTCTTATAGACTTCAACCGTACTACCATTTTAGTCTTAGTAGATTGTGAGCTGTCTAAAAACTGTCTTTAAGTCTTGAGAATCCAAATCAAACGCAAAAGATACAAGTCCCGCGTCACTTGAGGTGTACCTCGTTCTCCGCTTCGGGCATTCAGAGCGCGGGAAGCCTCAAACTTTCGGGTCCGCGGGACTTTAGACAACCCCGGCGCTAGAACTCAAATATAACGACAAGTCAGGCCTTGATAAAATTCATATAAAAGCATTTACCTTCAATACGACGCATCCAATTTGATTGGATCATCTATCTCTGTCTATTTTCTTATAAACGTTAAAAGCAATTACTCGAGTAGTTGTGCGCATACTTCAAGGCGCTGCTTACTTATTGTAGCGAAGCGAAGAAAGCCAGCAGCTGAACCCCTTGGTCCTCCTGGATCTTTCAAATTTCTGTGTTCATACCCTTGATACCCTCCCTTCCAGCGAGGCTAAGTGTTAAATCGAAGTATTTCTCGAGCGCCTCTATACGTTCTGCTTCCGAGGCCAAAGTGGCCAAAACAGAAGTCTTTCCAAGAACACGCTTTTTGACTTCCCCATTGAACAAAGTGATGTTGCCTGCAATCACTCCATCTTCCATGATAAACTTGGTGCAGACAATGTGGAAGGTGAAGAAACTCGCTCGATGTGTGCTCGTGTAGTAGTTCATGACCGCGTAGTCGTTGGGCAGAAATTCGGTTTCCCGGAAGCAATAAGTCGGAATCCACGGCAGGTCAGTGGCATTTCGGTGTTGGTATATCCAGAACTTTTGGCTAGAATCCGTGAGATCGGGGATGGACTCGTATACAACGCGCTTCTCCTGCGATCCAACGTTTTGCGATATTTCATTATGAACTAACGGAAGAGGAGATACCGATCCTGTTGATCCATTACCAACGTCGACTAGGTATTCCATCCCTTCAATGGCCACGAGAATGATCATGTGATTCCTACGACACCATTAACTTGTGAAACAGTTGGGAGTCAGGGAGGTTCAAATTACTTACCATCCATTGTATCTAGGCCCGGCCCACCCTTCCTTCGCAGATATTGGTTCAATAGCCTCGTTGACTCTTGCGCCAGTTGTCATGATATCGAAGCCAAGACTCCTGAGCACTGTTGCGAATAAGCCGGTGTTCTCCATACAATAACCTCCCCTCCCATTGTTCCGTTCAACGATTTTGTGGAACAGATGTTCTGGATCAAGCGTAATGCTGTGGTGAGTCGAGTAGTGGAGCTCCAAATTTTCAAAGGGAACAGCTGCCAGCTGATACTTCTGTAAGGTTGAGAGAAACAAAAGTCCTTCTTTGGTTGTCGCTATTTGCGAGACATTCTTATTTCGAAGGTCTTGAGGAAGTCCAATGCGCTCATAATAGACTTGCAATTGCTCGGGTGTATAAATCTTGCGGTAAGAGGGGCTTTTGGAATTCATTTCTCGAGCTTTGATCCTAAAACAACATCTCTGAGAAAAGGATCAGGGCTAAGTAAGAAGAATAGAATGCCCTCGAGAAAATTGTGAAGGTGAGAAAGAAGCACAGGCCGAAGTGAACGTGACTGGAAATATTGCTTACTCGCGCTGACTAACAGTGTTGGAAGCATACATAGCCTATGGCTTGAAGATAGGTAGGCAATTGCCTGATGCTCTAATGACTATCGAGGTTTAATTATCGGCAGAGAATATACAAGTCCGTTTGAGCGCACCCTGGATGCAAGGGTTAGAACTCCATGTGTTAGAGTGGGCCGGGATTAGGAATAGTGTACCGCCTCTCTAGCTGAAATTACTTACGGGCGTAGGAGCTACGCACGTGTAAACTCCTCGTGTGACCTGGCCCTAAGATATATAGAACAATAAAGGTAAGGGGAAAAATGTCCGGATGTAAGGTCAAGGGGAGATATCTCAGGTTAGCTACCTATATATGAGCTTTTGTGAAGGGACCATTCAGTAATGAGACTTTCTGTTTTGTGGCTTGCAGGATCTAAGCAGCATTTGTCCGCATTATGAAGGTAAAAGAGAAGAAGATTTAAAGCCTATCTATCTGTGCAGTTAACGATTGATTTCTAGTAACCACCCCCTCCCCCACGTCTTCAGCTTGTTGCGGATAGGACTGTTAATTGTACTTGATGTTTCAAGTCGAGTTATGCATGCATAATTGCCAGCGCTAGTATGATGTGAAGCACTTGGGCCAAAAGTCCAACGGCACTCACTCGAGACTGCGGCTTAGTTGCGCGAAACAACAAAGGTTAGCAGAGCAGGAAGATGAAATGAAGACTGCGTGAAGTGCAAACAAAGTTTTCAGGGGCCGCATTTCCAGACCTCGCTAAAAATTTGCAGAACCTCCATCTCCATTTCCATCTCCCCTCATCCCTACCACCACCACCTACAGTAACCCCTCACCCATCTCCAGATCCCAAGAAAATGGCATCAGATGCCCCAGAAACAATCGATACACCCATCAAGCCAGACACCCAAGGAACGAAACGCAAGCAAGAGTACTCGCGCGGTCACGAGATAACATCGCTCACCATCAAAACCCCACCATTCGCATACGCGCACCTAGAGCTCCAGTCCAGCGCCTACGCCGCACCGCCCTCGTCACCATCCATAGACGCACTCACCATCCGCGCACACCTGACGTCGGCCCTAACGCAATTTCTCGGGCTTTCGGGCTCGGCCATCTCGGTCGATGTTTTGAAGATTGAGGGGCGTGAATGTTGGGTGCGCGTGCCGAGGGGTGATTTGGCGGTTTTTGTGGCTGCG